TCAACGCAAGACGTATAAATTCTTCTTTGTTTGTTAAGATCAGAAAAGCGAACTACGGTATCGGTCGTGTTGACGTTGCTAATGCCTCAGCAATACGTTCCAGCCTTGTCGAACTGCGGTATCCAGTCGGTCAGGAAGATGTAGCATAAACTGCTTCCCCACAGACTGTGACTAGATTCCTTCCAGCAATTGTTCTAAAACCTTCTGTTCATGTGGGTCCGCAGTATCTTCCTCAAATGCACCGTCTGCTAAGTGTCTCTAATCATGGACGAAGCTCCTCTTCTTTCATCCCAGAAGTTGGCATCGAACTTAAAACCGTTGGCGGCGTTCCGAAAGCAGCTCTAAGTGATCTAGTAAACGGCGCAAAGTACTATAGGTGAGGGTCGTAATTTCCTGTGCCAAAACGACCCTATCTACAGCGAAGTGAAAAGCGTCTTCTGCAAGTAAACTCAAGGGGACGCTACAACGTTGCGACAGGGAAAGTGTTGTACAAAATGCTGTGCTTGCTTCTCCTATCTACCGTGTGACATGCCGGTAGAGGAATTTACAGGTGCTGAAACAGTGGACCCACATTGAAAAAGCGGTGCTCGTAATATTAACTTTTCAAGGGCACTGGAAATGGTATCAGCAGTCGATGTTGCTTTTGCATTGTCACACTGATCACGTACAAAATTTGCTTTTGCTTGTTTTCTCATTTTCGGCATTTTAGATCTTGACAAGTTCGCCACTTTGTAGCACACATCGTACAAGAAATACAAGGGCGAAACAGGAACGCGCATTACGCAACACTTAGCCACGTTATCAGCCTTCTCTGTCTTATTGCTTCTTTTCAATCACAGCATATGCTCGCGGCTCTAAAAAGTAAGCAGAAAAAGCCGTTATAGCAATGGCCAAAATTTAGTACCTGCGCTAATCTTTGTACCGTTGTCTACACCATGCATTTTCAACCTTTGTCTGGCTGTCGCCCTCATTTGAACGTTTTCATTCCTATTGGCCTCCACCATTGATCATCACAATTTTATTAATCAACAACACCTAACAGACGAAAAGCTGATTTCCACAGGTCGTGTTGGTATATTTTTGTTATGATGGCTAAATTTCTAATGTTGCTATCAATATTCCTTCCCTTATAAACCTTTCTTTGACTTTCTCAGCCTCAAGATAACATTCACTGCGCGCTAACATCGAGCCACTTCTCCTTAGTTACACAAACTAATCACTAATATTTAACATTGTATTTATTTATTGTTGTCTCTTAACTGTACGGCATTCTAGGAATTAGGAGGTATAATAGCTTCGTAACAAAAGGTTTATCGAGATATTAATGCGAGTCTTGAGCCTGATGTCGTTGAGCAGGTTTGCTTATATCCGGCTCCAGACTTGAGAGCAAGTTTCGAAAATCTCCTCTTGCTGCGATGTCCATCCCGTTTATACATTTTGTTAGAGAAACCAGTCTGCGGAATCCATATTCAACCAAATATGTGGACGAAAAAGTAGGCAAATATATTTCAGCTATTTCCCACCGTCGGGAGCATCAGGATGTCCCAAAATTCTTTTTATCTTGCGTGAATTCGGATCTTGCTAGTGTGTCAATTTTAAGCTCTAGGAGACCTTCCTGGAATTCAGCTCCAACACCTCAGGTCTGTACATCAGAAGGATGCAACATGTAAATCGGGATTTCCATGTCAATCTGTTCATGAAACATGTATTTCATTATCTTTGGGAGTTGTTGTAAATGAATGATATTAACAATCGATTGGGAACTGTGAACATTACCGACGTCCGATGTTTTGAGCATATACTTCCAGTAATTTAAGAATAGCGCTAATGCTTGCTTTGTCACAGATGAAACTAAGCAACCAACATTGATGATGTCAAATATATATATATATATATTATACACAATCTGTGGTACAGATATTGTGCCATCGGAATCATGGCTGAATAGGAAAACAATATGAATAACAAGAAAAGATCAACAAACCTTTTTTGTACAGTTTACCACTCACAGTTTTTGAAATTATTTCAGTTTGTTCTTTTTTAGGGGGAGGAAGAAGGGACACCGCAACACACTGATGCACACGTCCGCCATTGACGTCGATCTTGAGCCATAACTTCCAAGGTTTTCAACCAGCAAGTATCCTCATCTCTCGGACCCCAACCAGGTAGTCGACAACAACCGGCCGAGGCTAATTGTTTCGTCAACTTTTTCATGCGCCTCTATGTTGTAGGCTGTCCACCAGACCGTCTCTTCCAGCCCTGTGCAGCAAGTGCAAACAACGCACGACGGGGGTAACGCTGGACAGGCATGCGCAATACGTGTCCCAACCACCGCAGTTGATGCAGTGAGATGAGCTCCTCGAGCGAGTGGCTTCCACGTCCCAAGACACGCTGTCTAACTTCCACATTGCTTACGTGGTGCTGCCACCACACACGGGCAATGGACCGCAGACAGCGGTGCTCGAAGACGGATAGCCTGCGCAAGTCATCTTTACGAATGGGCCAGGTCTCGCATCCGTACAACAGTACAGCACGAACAGTTGCACAATAGACCCGCCCTTTGATGGAGAGACGAATGTCGTGGCGACGCCACAAATGCCTCAGCCTAGAAAAAGCGAGGCGTGCTTTCGAGATGCGCATCGAAATCTCGTCTCCAACAGCCCCGCCAGCAGTGATGTAACTTCCCAAGTAGACAAAGCTCTCCACAACCTCCAGTGTCTCACCAGCAAGCGTGAGTGCAGGCAGAGGCACCTGCCAGTCTTGAAGGAGAGCCTTGCATTTGGATGGCGAAAAGCACATACCGTTCTCCCTATAAAAAGCCACATATGTCCGTTTAACAACACTGCGACGTGGCGGATGTGACTCGCCACTAAATAAAGTCACTGCCCCTTGACCCTCCCTGAGAGGCATTGTACTTTAAGGGTGAGTTGGGCCGCTGATCCTTCACGGACCGAAAGGCGTATGAACCATCTACTTGGTCTCCGGCTCCCAACGGGTTGCGACGCCCTCACATCGCCCTGCTGCCTTGTAGGTTAGATCTTTGATCAAAGGCTCGGGGTAGGGCCCCCTAAGACAACCCTCTACTTCGGCCTGGGCAACTGGGTAGTATCAGACCCACTGACG